TTTTTTGAAGGTCCCCTTACAAGGCCTCTATCCCAGTGGTGGTAAGAGAACCACCGGGATTGAGGCTTTGCCTGGTGGGCCGCTCCATCTATTGGTGGGGAGCATCACCTGCTGGAAACCGTGTCCAGCGTCCCTTGAATACCTCAAAACCATATGTAACAGAACACTAGGGACCCTGCCAGCATTGATTGCCCTGGGTTACAGGGGATTTACTGTGCAGGGTGTATTTCCTTAAACCACCAGTACTTCCTAAAGTCGTGCCCGTTAACGCTACGCGATTTTAGGAAACGTACGGGCCACTACAGGAGCGCCCAAATTCATCCAACTAGAAACATTTCTACTCTATTTTTTTCCGCGGCCGATAGCTGGGCCAAGTACTGGTGGTTTAAGGGAAGCTCTGTCGTCGAAAGCCTGGGAAGAACGAATCAAAATGCCATCTTGGACCCGGGGGGCACCAGGTCTCATGGCTGTCTCCCCACCTCCGATCTACAAAAATTGACTGTAGTTGTAAAGTCTGTGCCAGAAAAATACTCAGGAGCAGCCAAAGGGCAGCTGTGATGAAAATAGGTAAATATAGATGATCAGACCCCGTCTCCCAGACGTTCCTCCAGGGCCAGCGGATGGGGGGGCTAAGGGATCAGTGAATTCCTGAGCAGGTCGTAACGGTTCCCTGGGGTCCACCCTTGTCCATCCGTGGAAATGCAGTGCATAATCCCTTTCCACCTCTACCCTTTGCCCTTCTTGCTGCCCCATCCCCACTTCCCTAATCTGCTCCAGTTGATGTTCCTGCCGCCTGGTCTGACTCTAATCCAGCCTGTCGCCTGTCCAGTTCACATTTGCCACCCAGCCCTCTCTTCTCCCCCCCAGCCATTCCTCACAGAACCGGGAGATAATTATGTCGATGTCCGCCCTGGTGTGTGTTTGGTTCAACTTTTCCTTGACAGTCTGCCATTGTGCCGTGATCTCATGTTGTACCAGTAGCCGTAGTTGTTCTGTGACTTCCCCCTCTTCCACCCTGGCCCCTTCCAATTCCAGAATGCATCTTCTCCACCATATTACCCACAGGATGGAACGCCTACCCAGGGAGTACATGTTCTCCTCAAATGTGTTTCCTCGAAACTGAGGGCAGTGGCCCAACAATATGGCCCTCCAGTCCCATGGCTAGGACGAGCCCGGTACAATATGCTGCCAAATCCCGTCCCACCATCGCCACAGTAATACAGCTGCGGGGCACTGCAAGAAGATGTGTTGTGCTCCACCCTGGGAAATTCCGGAGGCATACTCAGCAGTGTGGACACCAGGGAAGCGCCCTTCATTGCTGTTCCAAATGCGTGTGGTCAATCAGCCAGTTGTTGGTGGGCAGGCACCGATGGGCAATCTGTCATTCTAAGGCAGAGATTTTGGCCGGCCTCTTACGATACTCTCTGAACCACTGGATGGGTTTGAGCAGGCCTCTGTCTATGTTGAGATATCGTTGCCATCTGTCCTCTACAACATCTCTCAGTTTGCGCCTCGGTCCGAGCATTCGATATACTGTCTTGGTTTTATGCGTAAATAGTGCTACCGGTTTCGCCTTCCCTCTTCCTTTCAGCGCTTCCCGACCCTTCCACGACTATCTCCACTCATCGGGATCAAAAGGTAAGTCCTCGATCGGGATCATTGGCTGGTAAGCCCTCCAAACCCTCTCCTCTTCTATCACTCTAATACGATAGACCTCCCTTCTCTCTTTCCAGATAAAGGGTTGTCAGCTCCCTTGTATCAGGCCCTCCCCTGTGGTGGTGAAACACTCAATCAGCACATGCGTTTGGTCCACCATGTGTACCCGGCCTACTTATGTTTCGTGACCAGGTAGTCCTACCCAGTCCCCTTCTTCTAGGGTAGCGCCCTTCCTAAGTGTGGTGTACCGTTGAAGGGGGAAGCTTTCAATAAA